AGAATCTAGGAAACACCAGGCCTTGGTACCGATGGAGTCAGGTGTTACCCTGAGGAGCCAGCAAGCTCTGGAACATTCTAGAACAGGATCTAATGCTCTAGACCTGATTGAATGAGACCTCTGTTATGATGGGACTGAAACACAGAGTCTAGAGCAGACACCCAGAATCCTACACCCTCTTGCCTCCCTCGCTCTGTGTTTAAAACAGTTTGTTCTGTCTTCTACAGAGCAGTGAGCATGGGAAGAGAAGTGCTTTTGCTTCAGAACCAAAGTGGGTGTATGAAATCTGTTCCTCTCCCCCGGCTGCACATTCTAAGGAAGCCAAGTGCCAGAGGTGGTCAGAGGCTGATATGTAGAATCCGAAAAGTACAGGCTAAGCCATGGCAGGCAGAGGTAAGTGCAGGAGAGGTGGCCTCTACTATCAAGGCAGGGAGTGGAAAGGACATTCAGGGGCTTCGGATCATTTGACATATTGGCTGCCAGGCCTTGGGGGTGTGGCCAGATTGCCCATCATGTCCTGCCAGTCCATAAAATCACCCTAGAAAATTCCAGTGCTAAATGTGAGCCTCTTCATTGCTTTGCTATGCAATTATATTTTGCAAATAGGTCCTCGTTTCTGTCCCTTCAAGGGGTGGATGATGCTTTTGGTTCATGGTGGTTTTTGAAGTTGAAGTTTCAGATGTCAATAGGAATGAGAGTGGTACAGGGTAACTGCATGATGCCCAGAAAGGACATTAAAGATGGCTTCTCTCCAAAGAATGGATTCATTGCTGTACAGAAAGGGAGTTTCTTTGCATTATGTAGGCTGCTTGGGGTCACAATGAATGAGCTGGTTTGCAGGGGGAGGTGAGGATTTGAAATTAGCATGTCAGTGGACCTGGAGAGGCCAGTCCCTAAATAGGATGAGGACCCTCTTAGGTTTCTAACAATGTCTGTGTGGTCTGTAGGACCAAGGATGTGTAGGCAAGCACCCAATCTATCAAAGACAGGCGTGGACAAATGAGTCTCTACTTCTACCATTATATCCCATTCTTACAGCAGCCCCATGGGATGGAAGGGTCATTATTCCTATCTTAAACATGAAACTCGGACCCAGAAAGATTAAGCACTTTCCCAAAGCCACATGGCTAGGTTAGCCACAGTCCTGCTGAGGCAGGACTCAAACTCAGGTTCAGTAGACCCTAGAGCCCATGATACATCAACTATAAAGCTGGTGCACATAGAGGGTTAGGCTAGGGAGTCTGAACTTAACATGGTAGGCTGAGGGGAGCTATTGATGACTATAGAGCAGGGCAGTAGCATGGTAAAGTGATGCTTTAAGAGTTTCAACTGGGCAGCTCTGAACAGGGTGAGTGGTTGAGATGCTCTGAGTCCAGAGTGTGGATTACTTCTTTGAAAAAATAGCATAATCTGATGTGAAATATTCGCTTAGTTCTTGATACGAGATGGACACTACACTGGACGCTTTGATACAGGGAGATCATTTAATGTCTACAACTCAATGAGGAAGTGCCATTATTGGCAACAACAGAGTGCAGAGGTAAAAAGCTCTAGACTCTGAGGGCAGGCAAACCTGATTTTCTACCTGTATGAACCTGGAAAAGTCACTGTGCTTCTGGGTCTTTTTTCATTTGTAAAATGGGCATACTACTAGTGCCAATTTAGCAAGGTGGTTGGGGGTGGCATTAAATGAGATAGTACCTAGAAAGTAAGGAGCAACCTGATTCTCATAGAGTAAGTATTTCTAGCATGTTAACTATGATCATTATTACCATAGCTGCACCCATTTTATAGATGAGAAAACTGAGACTTAGAAAGGTTGAGTGGTTTTTTTTTCCCCAATCCAAGGCCACATAATGAGGATTGGAACTGGATAGTCCAACCACAGAGGTTCTAGTATTCTCCATTCTGGGGAGAGACTGCAAATGGGGATCAGCATAAAGGGTAATGGGAGAGATGCATCTTGGGCTGAAGTTTGGCACGACAGGGACAGCACAAAGCAACGGTTTTTGTACAAGATCTTTCACAGATGGCCTGTGCCGAGCTGGCTCTGGGCGGATTAACTGCTGTCCCTATAATTATCTTTCTCCTGAGGAAGTTCACAGTGCAGCCATGCCCTCCTCTACATGTGAAGAACCAGATAAGATGCATGTGCTTACAGCTCTGCTCTGTGCACAAACCTTTTCATGGGTACAGTGGTCATGTCTGGCTCAGAATACAGGGAGCAAGGGTGTTGGAGGATCCCACATTTCATTACCATCTGGCATGTCTGACCTCCACCTCTCCACCAATACCGGTGTTCCCAAGGAAGTGTCTCATAGACCCTTTTTATCGGGATCCAGTGGTGCCTTTAGGGTGAGTCCTGTTGAGAGCTTTCTGTATTCCTTGTGTACTCAGTGCAAGTTGCTGATCCACCACCTTTTGCAGTCAGAAGGTAGCTCTGGTGACCGGCTTTCTTCAAGGCATCATTTCTCCATGGGAGTTATTACATTTCTTTTGTAATTAAATTTAGAGCATTTTCATCCCATCCCAAGAGGCATCTCACAGTGTATGAGGTTGGTGAATATAATTGTCTTTAGACTCTACTTCTATTGGTGGTTTCTTTATGTTTTGCCTTTTTTTTTTTGCCATTTAATGAGGTTCTTTGAACAACTGCTCATGTTTACAGGTTTTCTATATTCTCCTCTTTATCAATAAAGGACACATTGAGATATAGGTTGGGTATTGAATGGTTGGGTAGTTCCTCAGGGTAGGTAGGTGTAGGTGATGATGTTGAAAGTTTTGTTTTGGACACGATATTCAGAATCTGCACAAAATAAAATCTCAGATACTGAATTCTCCTTCTTTTCCTTTCTGATCTAAACCAAGGACATTCCTCTTAGGCTTCATTCACATACTCATTCCTCTGTGATCCATTTATGGGTTTACCAAGACTTCTGCCAGGTTCTGGGGACATAAAGATGAGGATGACAAAAATCTCTGCCCTTGAGGAACTCACAGTCTTGTGATTTAAAATGGTTAATCAATTCAAGAATATTGGATTTCTGCAAAAGCTACTGTAGGGAAAAAATAATTATCCAAAGTCTTTAAATCTGTTATCCACTTTAATTGATTTAATTAGGTAAAATTCATAGAACTGTAATGTTGGAAGGGACCCAGAAGACATTTATTCTTGTTTCTTCTCTCTGCCTTCAGGCCACGCTTCACTCAAATTATCCCCCAAACCCATGCATTTCAGAAAAGAGCAGAATTTTGAAGAACTATAACTTTTGGCCCATTCTGATAAAACTTTTAGTGAGCACCCACAGGGAAAGTGATGTAAGCTTGTTGAAATAATTGACATGCACAGCTACAAAGTATTATTCTAAAAAACATGAATGGAACATCCACTTTTCGCACACACACGTGCGCACACACGCGCACACACACACATACACACTTGCAGTGGAATCCCCATAAGTCATCCTGCTGAGGTTGTGTTCAATACACATGGTAAATACAAAATGCAAAATAAAAACATGGGTATAATATGATGAAGACCCTTTGAGAATTCTTTCAGTTCCCTGAAAAGAAAAATATTTCAGCACTTGTCAAATTCTGTTTTGCTGTAACACAGAGGCATACCTTTTTTTTCTTCAGCATTTTTATACCACGCCCACCAGTCAACAATGTGATTTAAGCATCTGTTCCATGCAGATCTTCAGTGATCCCAGGAAGGCTGTGGTTGAGTGTCAGAAAGGTGGGCAGGACGCGGAGTCACGGCACCAAGGTTCAGATGCCTACTTGCTGTGTGACCATTTTGAGCCTCATTTTCCCTGCCAACAATACCAACTTTGTAGGATCACTGCAGGGATTTGATGAGTTAGGGGGTTTGAAGGCAGTTTGTATACTGTACCACTGTATGCATCACCTGCCTTTTCTAAATGGAAATTTGTTCTCATAATCCTAGATTGGTGGAAATGTTAGGGTTAATAGAGGACCTTTAACCCAACCTAAGTTATCATGCTACTTTCTAGGGTGACAGCATTCAGTGACTCTCCCTTATGCTCTAGATAGAGTCTAAACCTCTGGACCTAGTCCTTAGACCCTATGTGCTGGGGGTTCTGCCAAGCTCTTCAGTATCATGTTGTTGCCCCTCCTTTGGACGCCATGATGCATTCATCTACAGCTTCTGAAATAGTTGCAGTGCATCCTCAGGACCCCTCTAACACCCACTCACTTCCCCTCTTCCTCACCTGGATGCTCCTTCAATATGTCATATGCCTCGTTAGCCCTTAGTTCATGGAAATTGCTTTTCCTCAAGTTCTCATCAGATCTATGAAGGGAGAGACTGTGTCTGTGTCTGTGTCCTACATCATTACTTCCCTAACATCTAGAATGGTGTTGGCACTTAATAAGTGTTTGACAAATATTTGTCGATTGAAAAGGTAGATGTTCACATAGTATTTATGACACTCCGTATTACATGCCAGTCTTACATTCAAGTGACAGAAACCCTACTCAAATTGCTTAGGTGAACATAGAAACTTACTGACTCCGGTAACTGAGAAGTCCAGGAGAAATGGCTTCAGACTTGACAGACCCCAGAGGCTCCAAATATATCATTAGAAAACTGTCTTTGCTGATGCTGTTTTGTTTCCTTGACTTGATTTTCCCATCATGAGCTGGGGTGGGAACCAGATAGTTTGTTCTATTGGAACCATACAGTCTCAAAGGAGCAAGGGGCAGAATGAACTAGAGGAAAATGAGAATAGATGATAAGCAAGCAATAATAACAGATATCCTTCCAGGACCTGGCTACGAGCTCCTGAATACCAGAGCGTCTCTCCTCTCTGTAGTTGCAGGATCTGTGCTGGAGGAGTCTGGCATACAGTAGGTGCTCAGGAATGTCTGCAAATGGTTGATGTGTGATTTACTTTCCTAACTTCTAGGATGCAGCTGTGCTTCTATATAAACCACCTCCTGCTTCACCCTCTGTTTTGCTCTCTTTTCCCTGTCAGGATCCAACGTCTACCTTCTTCCAATTTGGAGCGTCCATCCAGCAACAAGCCACAGTCATGCTGAAGATCATGCAGGATTATGACTGGCATGTCTTCTCTTTGGTGACCACCATTTTCCCTGGCTACAGGGAGTTCATCAGCTTTGTCAAGACCACAGTGGACAATAGCTTTGTGGGCTGGGACATGCAGAATGTGATCACACTGGACACTTCCTTTGAGGATGCCAAGACGCAAGTCCAGTTGAAAAAGATCCACTCTTCTGTCATCTTGCTCTACTGTTCCAAAGACGAGGCTGTCCTCATTCTGAGTGAGGCCCGCTCTCTTGGCCTCACCGGGTATGATTTCTTCTGGATTGTCCCCAGCTTGGTCTCCGGGAACACGGAGCTCATCCCCAAAGAGTTTCCATCAGGACTCATTTCCGTCTCCTATGATGACTGGGACTACAGCCTGGAGGCGAGAGTGAGGGATGGCATTGGCATCCTCACCACCGCTGCATCTTCTATGCTAGAGAAGTTCTCCTACATCCCCGAGGCCAAGACCAGCTGCTACGGGCAGATGGAGAGGCCAGAGGTCCCGATGCACACCTTGCACCCGTAAGAAAGGGCTTGTTGTCCCCCAAAGTGGGATCAGAGTTTGTTGTTGTCATTGTTTGCTTGCTTACATACTCATTGACGGAAATAGTCACTGCAAATGCAGAATGTTGTATGTTTACTTATGGGATTTTTATTTTGTTCTCCTCTCCTTCTTTGTCTCATCTCCTTTGTAAGATAAGTCACATCAAACTTTGTTTACTGCAACTTACCTTTTTTTTTGTACTCAACAATATATCTTGGAAACCTACACCTGGGATCATTCTATCTATCTATCTATCTATCTATCTATCTATCTATCTGCCTATCATCTATCTATCTATCTATAACTATATCTCAAGTGTATCTATATTTTCTGTAACTCAAAGATTTGAACCCAGACAAGTCTAACTCCAATGCCCACATCACATTCTTCAATATCCAATCTACATAGTGACAGAAATTTAGGAGTTAATTTTCTTTTATTTTTAGAAAAATTATAGGTACATAGTAGGTATATGTGTTTATGGGGTAGATACTTTGACACAGGCAGGTAATGTGAAATAAGCACATCATGGAGAATGGGGTATCCATCCCCTCAAGCATATGTCCTTTGAGCTACAAACAATTTGATTATATTCGTTAAGTTATTTTAAAATATGCAAGTCATTTGTTATTGACTATAGGGACCCTATTGTGCTATCATATAGTAGGTCCTTTTCATTCTTTCTATTTTTTTTAAATCTATTAATCATCTCCACCTCCCACCTCAAACCCCAATACAAAAATGTGTTTATTTATAGAATAAGTGAAGTATTTTGGTACAGGCATACAATGTGTGATAATCACATTAGGGTAAATGGGGCTTTCATCACCTCAAGAATTCATCATTTCTTTGTGATATAAACATTTAATTTACGGTTTTTGTCAGGTTATTTTCCTATTAGAAGCTAAACTGCAATGATAATCTTTATACATGTCTTTGTTTTTTTCTAGGGGTGATTTTAAGATATAGGATTTTTGGGTCCTAATTCATGTGCATTTTAAATTGAAGCATCTATTGCCAAATTGTCCTGCAAAGCAACTGCATCAATTTATATTCACACCAACAGTTTGTGAAACTACCCAATTTTCCACATCCTCACCAGCATGCTATGCTTTGGGGAAACTTCCCACACTAGTGTTCCTAGTCTCTGTTTGATTTTGCATCTGAATTTTTTCCCTTCTTATATTCTAAGTATTTTTGTAGGTCACTGGAAATCTTGGCAAACATTACTCTTAGAACAGCATTATATTCCATTATATGAATGTATTATAATTTAACTACTCCCATCTTGGCGAACATTTAAGTTAAATTTTATATTTCTAAGAAGTGTCATTGTTCCTTGTGGCCTGTCATTATGCTCAGCTGTTGAGATTTAGAATGATCACTCCTATACCCATTTTGCATGGCTTTGCCTGATGTTCCCTGATTTAATCCATGCCTTATTCCTCAGATAATGGGCAGTGTAGAACTGTGATAGAGGGCCTCAGCTCTGGAATTAGACTTGTCTGCATTCAAAGCTTGTTTTGTCCACTTTCTATATGACTTGCACAATCATTCTACTTTTCTCGGCCTCAGGTGTTTATTGCAAAGTGATGATAATACCACCTAAATTTTAGGCAATATTTCTCAAGCCTCAGCAGGCGTCAGAATGTCTGGGAGGACTTGTTAAGGCATGAGTTACTCGGCCCCAGTCTCAGAGTTTCTAATGTAATAGAAAATATGGTGTGGGCCCCATGAATTTGCTATTTCTTTCAAGTTTTGGGGTAATGCTGATTTTCTTGGTCTAGGGGCTGTGCTTTGAAAACCAACATTCTAGAGATTGTCATGTTCATTGAGGTGCTGCATGAAAAACACTGTTTAGTACAGTATTTACCACCTAGTAATATTAAATAACTTCCAGAGTGATCAGTAAAGGTTTTGGTCATCAGAAATTACAGTCAGCAGGCTGGGGGTGGTGGCTCATGCCTGTAATCCTAGCACTTTGGGAGGCCGAGGTGGGTGGATCACTGGAGGCCAGGAGTTTAAGACCAGCTTGGCCAACATGGTGAAACCCTGTCTCTACTAAAACTACTAAAGTTAGCCAGGTATGGTAGAGCATGCCTGTGATCCCAGCTACTCAGGAGGCTGAGGCAGGAGAATCATTTGAACTTGAGAGGGAGAGGCAGAGGTTACAGTGAGCTGAGATCACACCACTGCACTTCAGCCTGGGTGACAGATTCCATCTCAAAAAAAAAAAAAATTTAAAAAAAGGAATTACCATTAGCAAACCATGTTGGTTTATTGCCAGCAGGGTACTATGTCACTGAAATATTTATGGAAGGTTTTAGGACTTTAAATCTGCTACATTTCAGAGGGTATCTCTGAACTGGGGCTGGAGGGATTTGACTATCATCTCTCTCTCTCTCTCTCTCTCTCTCTCTCTCTCTCTCTGTGTGTGTGTGTGTGTGTGTGTGTGTGTGTCTGTGTGAGATGAAGTAGACAGAATATACCTCTTTACAATTAACATAAATATGAAAAATGAACTCTTGAATTAAGAAATCATGCTCCTTTGACATTTCTCTGTACTCTGTCCTTTTACCCTCTTTAGTAATCCTGTTTCTACATTGCCACTTTCAGCATTTTAAATAATGGTCCAGATATCAGGAAGGAACTCAGATAAATTAACATAAGACATGGGAGTCTCTTACAGAGGCAAGATTGCTGCCAGCCCAAAGACACAAGCGAGGCTAATGAATTTTCGCTCTCCACAATAAGATGTGCCCTGAAGCTGGAATATTCAGAAATTTATAATTTTGATAGAAACATAACTCAATTTTAGGGCAATTGAAATATAATACATACAGGAAAAGGAATTCTAGAGGGATAATTGGTAAGACATTTAGATCTCTTTCCAGTGACCACCGGGATTCTATTCTTTGTAAAAAAAAAATTTTTGCTGCTGTGAAATGCTTTTGTGCTATTTCCCAAAGCTATGCCTTTAAATGCAGCAATTTTGTAAATGTTATTTCAGCCCCAGAGAAGCAATTCATCAAGTGTGTTAAGTTGCCATCCACTGCTTGTGTTTAATGAAACATCTCTCCATCCATACAGGGCTGGTGGTGTCCACCCAGTGTATAAGTTTGAACGATGCACAAGCAGTTTCTCCATGCCACGTTCTCCCACAGTCCCTGATGCCCACCCTAGGGAACAGTGGAACCCTGCCAGGCTGCCCTTGACAGGGAGTTAGAGAAAGCCCAAAAAGGCAGGTTGGTTTTTCTGTTTTTTTGTTTGTTTTTGAGATGGAGTCTCGCTGGGTTGCCCAGACTGGAGTGCAATGGCGTGATCTCAGCCCACTGCAGCTTCCACCTCCTGGATTCAAGAGATTCTCCCACCCCAGCCTCCAAAGTAGCTGGGACTACAGGTGTGCACCACCACATCTGGCTATTTTTTTTATTTTTTAGTAGACACGGTGATTCACCATGTTAGCCAGGCAGTCTCGAACTCATGACCTCAGGTGATCCATGTGTGTCAGCCTCCCAAATTGCTGGGATTACAGGCGTGAGCCACCACACCCAGCCAAAGCACTATATTCTTCTATCCTTCATCTATCATTCCTTCCAAGCAACAGATGCTGTGCTAGCCCCTGGGATACATAGATGAATTAAGATATAACTTCCCTCCTTAAACATTATATAGTCTGGTCAAGATGGGGGAAATTTGTCTAAAGACAAAGTTAGGTAATAAGAATTCTTTTTTTAATATTGAAAAAAAAGAATAGTACAGAAAACTACAGAATCTGGGAAAATACTCAACCCAATATTCATCATAGAGAACAAAGCTAAACATGCCAAAGGTTAATGTTTGTTTCAGCATTTTAAAAGAAATAAAACATTAATGATAATGTAGAAATTCTGATTATATTTGTTTCCCTGTCCCACTTTTCTTCTCTTCTCGCCATAGAAGGGAAAAACATAATGATTAATTTGGTATACATCCAAATCCATGTACATGTTTTTGTATTTTCAATACACATACATGTGCAATAATATTCCCAATACATAGTTCTTTCTAATGTACACAAATGGTGTCTAATGTATTACAATTGCCTTTACCTCAATCTTATATTTTCAAAATTCCTCTATGAAGATAATTCAATTGCATTCATTTTATTGATGATATTCTATTATATAAGTGTTCCATCTTTTATTTAATTATTCCTCTTTGATGGACACTTAGATTTTTTATAGTAAGGAATTTTTCAGTCTAGATTGCTGAAAGCAGAGAACAAATCTATCTGTAGCCTGAGTTAGATCTATCTGCTTGTTCAGTAGATACCTAGGACTCTCAAGTTAGGAGTTCCTCACTTCAAGCTTAAAAATTACATTTTCAGCTGGATGAAGGTCTTTCTTTGCAAAGCATCTGGTAGACAAATAGCTCTCACTATTCCTCCTATGTAGTAGGGAGGTTGCAAATAGCTTCAGAAGAAGTTCAGATGAGGTCATACCTGATGTTTTCATGATGAGTTACTGAGGGGATCTGAGATCCAGCTTTGACTGGTTGAGAACAAAGTCGTGGGGCCAGCTAGACGTGTCACTTGGTTGTCCTCATGGACTTTATTTATCATCTTATGCAAAGAGCTGGTGCAGTTAGGATATTGTAACAATGATTTATTGCTCACAGGCGTGGTACAAGGGGCTGCTTGCAAGCTATGGTATGTTGATGACCTTACCATCAACCTGTTTCTGTACATAGAGTTTCAGGGGGAAAAAGAAGTACAGGAAAGGGGGGTATTTTCTTCACGTTTAATATTCCTGATTTTACAGAAGACACTTTGAAAAGAGCAGTCAGCATTTTTCAAAGTTCAAAAATAGCTCAGTCATGTTATATAACCTCCTCCTTGCTACTGCAAAGTTATTAAACATCTGTTCCTTCACCAAGCACAGAGCATGTCACTGGTAGCTCCCAGAATTGTGAAGGTAAACCATTACCTGCTTAGCCA